CAGCGGTACGCATACTGCAGACAGACAGTAGCTGTGTTCCCCGATTCCAAGAGTGCCTTCGATTCAAACGATCAATCGATTCTGCTCGAAATACTTTCACGAAAGGTGTTCCTACGAAATATGTGAACATCCTTCCTGCTCTATACTCGAACACTATAGGCCGCGTCAGGGTCTACGGTGGCCTATCCGATAGCTTTCCGATCACAAGTACGTTCGTCAGGGTTGCCCGATTGCCCCATTTTTGTACAATTTCGTCGTAGATTCTATCATGGAGTGTTCCCTTGCGGAATCTCACGATGTAGGCGTTGAAGTGCTGCCTGGTGAAAGACAACTTGATCTTGATTATGCGGACGATTTCGCCTTGCTTTTCGATGATGTTGAGGCGGCATAATCAACCCCGAATAGCCTGTCTACAGTGATCCCATTATTTAATATGCGCTTTGCACCTTCAAATTGCGAAGTGTTGCTGCAGGACCACAAGCCATTTGATGACCCCTTGACGTTCGCTAACGAGGAACTCGAGGTGGTTGATCATTTCACTTATCTTGGCAGTTGCATCAGCAATGATGGGCGCATAGAAACTGACGCCATCTCACGCATCGTAAAAGCCAGAGCTACCTTCTTTAACCTGCGGCATCTTTGGCGACAGAAGAGAGTTCGCTTGTCTGAATGGCCGGGTATACAAGGCCACGGTGAGCACCGTTTTCCTCTATGGGAGTGAGACGGTCTCTTCGGTCTGAAGATCTGAGGCGCCTTCAAGTCTTTGATCATCGTTGTCTGCGAAGCATTGCTGGAATCACATGGCACTAGCGTGTCCGCAACGAGGATGTGCGCAGGAGAGTACTAGGTGGTGATAATCAGGCTAACTCCCTAGAAAAACAGATAGTACTGAAGAAGTTGCCTTGGATCGGGCACGTGCTACGTATGCCTGGTCACCGCTTACCTAGGAGGCCCTTGTTTAGTCTGCCAGGTGTAGGGTGACGCAAAGCTCGAGGTGGACAGAAGTTGACTTAGCAGCGGGAGATAAAGTTACTGACGACAAAACTGGGTGCCATTGGTTTGTCTCGCCTTCCTGGCAGGAGTCCACGTGACTCGTCTAGTGCTTGGCTCGAGACTTTACAGGACATGGCTCGCAACCAACACCAGTGGCACGTCTGCTGTCGTCTCTTAATCGGATTGCCTGTGTAAAGTGTGTTTTGTGCTGAGTTATCTGCGGGGTAATGGCTGATTATGACGCGTGGCAGTGAAAGCCGCAAGGAAGCTGTCTCGCCGATGCCAGCTGTTTGTGACCGCATGTTGTCTACACAAGGTGTAGGCGCCTTGACCCTGAATGTTTGCTGAGGGCATTAAGGTTTTCAGGTAGGTCCCGCTTCCCTCCCTCATTTTATTCTTTATTTCATAGGTCCTCATGTTTGTGTGGCAGCAAAGCATAAGTTCAAATGGCTGATGTACTGCTGTTGATGATGATGGTGCGACAGACGAGTTCCCGTCCTAATCCTATCAGACCGTATTTTATGCCGTTTCAGTGGGTGACCGCGGTGATTAGGTAACGTAGCGGGACAAAATAGCCCAGACAAGTCCGGGCCGATCTAACTCGTCAAATTACGATACGTGCGAATTAGGCCCCCTCATGTCCTTCTGTAGTGCATGGAGACCATCCCCAAACTACGCAAGCGTTCAGAATACGCCTGCCCCGTAGACCCTTCAATAACCGTGTGCCTACTCGTAACACCTTCTGCAAGTTCATTTTGTCTCAGATAAGACAAGCCGGTACACAATATTCCAGGTGGGGTCGAACGAATGCCCAGCATAGCTTAACAAACAAATTGGACATTAGGACTTCGAAAGAGGGACGGCAAAGCCACATCACACGAAACCTCCGACAAGTAGGCCTACCCAATTGTCGCCAGAATGAAGTGCTCATGAGTGAAAACAAGGATTTCACCACCGCCGACATCATATCGGGTGGGAGAATTAGCAACACCGATTCGAAGAACAGAGCACTTGACCATTTAGATGTGCATTAACCAGAATGTAGACCATTCCCAGAGTCTATCCAAGGCACCCTGGATTGCCTCAAGACCCGCGGGAAATCCACAATATTCCAGAGCTTGGGGTCCTCAGCAAACATTAGTGCTGACACTCTTAGCCCCCCCGGCAAGTCGTTTACATAGATCTCGAACAACAACGGCCCCAATACTGAGTCCTGCGGGACGCCACTAAGGACAGCTTGCCTGAGCGAAAGGCTACGCCCCCACCCGTACGCACTTTTCCCTCCCCTCAAGGAAAGCCAACACCCATTTCAAGGCGCGACCAAATAGACCGTAAGAGCACAACCCCAGTGAGAGTCGAAGATGAAGAACAATATCAAAATCTATCGAAAAGTCCACGCATAGCACGTTCACAGCGTGGCCACGGTCTACCCCTTCGGCCCAACTTTCACGAGCCATAAGTCGATTAGTCTTACACGAAAAGCCCTTGCGGAATCCATGTTGCGCAAACAGGTTAAATCTCTTCAGCTTGTTCTCCACTGAATCCCTTAACAGTTTTTCAAACAACTTGACCACCACACTTGTTCAATTGGCAGGCCGGTAGTTCGCGGGCAGATCGTTGTCACCTCCCTTATAAATCAGACAGATGATTGCCTTCCTCGACGCCAAAGAAAGAAAACAAATGTGCACAGATATTGAAAACCAGCATGTAAGATGACCGCTCAGCTCATTGGCCAAATCATGCAACAGCTTCAGATGAATTGAATCAGGACCGGAAGCATTGGACAGAATAATGCCTTTTAGTAGCACGAAGAGTTGTGTCTCCGTTATGTTGAGCGCAGCTAAGCAAACATCCTCTGGAATAATTGCAACCATTTCAGACTGTGGTAAAGAGATCTCCCGAGCAAACACCACACTATACTGATCACTAATTATGTAAGCCATGTCAGTTTGCGCTCGGGTCCCGTCTGCTCGCAATAACGCTGGGATAGGGAGCTTTGCTCGGCTGCGTCTTTTAACGTAAGGAAAAACCTTGGGATTAGCTGCGGCTGAGTCCGCTAAGCCCTGCTCGTACTGAAGACGAGCAGTCTTGAGATGTTGCTTGCATGTATTTCTAATCTCTCGATAACTATCATAGGTACTGGCTAATGGAGCTGTTTCGTATTTCCTCAGCATCTAGACCGTTTCTTAAGTAGGTGCTTGCCTGTGGTATCTATCCATGGAGGCTGTGCCCGTAATCCTCTTTTCCTCACGAATGGAATATAGGGAGTGGAAATCTCCGTAAGTTACGCCTTAAACCTTTCCCAGGCTAATTGGGCAAAGTCGGCCATTGAGCACTCACAGTTCAGAACTGAAATCTTAGCTCGCATTGTACTAAGGCCCATCCGCCAAGTAGTCGAAATTAATTGGGTTGGTGCCTTGAAATGTACACTAATGATATGCAGGCGATCACTGGATCCTAGAGGTGCACAGTACGAAATGTCACTCATGAAGTCGAGGGATTTGAGAAAACCAAATCAAAGTAGACAGTATTTGGTTGTCCGTATATCTAGTGAAGAAGTCCACGAACTGGTATAAACCCTGTCCACACAAGTGGACGGTTAACAGTCCCATGTGGACGTCTGTTTGGTCACCCGTAAAAGAATGACTAAATGTGAGGGAAACTGTACAACCAGTTTTGCCATACAATTGGTAACAAGAAATGGTATTCAATAAATGATACACGCTTGACTATCCCCATACGGAACGTTTGTTTAACGGTACCCGAAAATCATATATCGGACATTTTCTCATCATCGCTATCGCGGTGAAAGTTTGTAGCTATGCCTCGCCGAACTCGAAGACCTTATATTGGTGGCTCCCGGTCTAATATCTATGGACCCATGAAACATGCTTACGGTAACGTAATGCATAACAATGCTACCGTCGGTATGCACACGTTTTTCTGGTTAAATTATTTGCAGATGTTTCCCCAATCAGGTCCCGAATGGTCGTGTGCCCATAGCTTTCCAGAGGTTTTGAAACAGTTGTTGGTACTTTCACAGCCATTAATGGATTCCGTGGAAGTTGTTCGTTCTGGTTCATATAGTTTACAGGCGCAATGTTGGGACTCGATTATTGGTAAGTGAACTTTCCCAAGGCGTAACATGCTCAAGGAAGTACCTGCCGATTTAGCACCTGTGATACCAATGCCGCAGTTGCCAAGCGTTACTGAAAGCTGCCACAGTGTCGCGATTGAGGTATATTTACTAGCTAGAAAGATAAACCTGAGGCATCAGCGCCTTCATGCGTTGCACCCTGCATTGCCGTGCGATTCGCGCACATTGCTCGGTACCCTACGTGGATGCCCTGTTAACGTTTCTAAGGGTGGCGATTACGTGCTCGTTAGACTGATTACAGGAACAAGTCTAGTGTCATGTCGAATTTGCGGCTGCAGCTGCAGAGATGGACTAACCGTTTCGCAGATTTCGTGAGAAATTCTGGCCTGTCTTAGCTAGACTCACGTATCCGCGTTCCTCCATTTTCATTGTCCGACTGTACTACAGCTTGTTGAAACCTGCAGGTGTACATGAGCTTCTACCACAAACCATTGCTGATCTGATAGATGTCATGTATCCAGGAAACCTAATATCTCCAGAACCTCCTTTGGTGACCCGTACCTTGAAGTGTGTGATTGCGGACGCTACTGCTCGTGTACACATACGACAAGTCAAGCAGTATTCCGGTTTCTACGCATGCAAGAAATGTACTGTTACTGGTTAATATCCAAATTCATTAACCTTTCAATAACTTTCTATAGATGTGCATGTAGGTAGCCAAATGGCTTTCCCACTACACATGGGTACTTAACCAAAGATACGAAACCTAAACTAAGTACGTGGTACGAAAGATAAACTAAAAACGGAACCAATAAACTTAGACACAACGTACTGGAAGGGCAGGAAAATAAAACGAATTATGCTGTAACCGTGGCCCTATGAGGCAAATTAAATACAGTACACGACTTACGAATAGGTTTTGCAATCGAAATGCGTGGGCAGAAACTGCAAAGCCTGTGTCACAGCAACAGAATAGTATGGATGACCTTGAAACCTCAAGTTCAAGTTCAAGTTCAATTGGGACCGGAACAGTAGGAAAATCCCACGAATGTTCCACCTTCGAAAACACCGTTGATCCAACAGGGAAACCGATGCCTTGATGTGCCAAAGGAGAGCCAAGTCAACACACACGATTCATATGGTCAACCAAACCATGCCCACGTGCCCTGCACTAGCAGTCCCCGCTGTGCCAGCCACGTGAAGAATAAAAGAAAACAGTAGTGTCAGTAAAGAAAAGAAAACAGAGAAGACAAGCTAATCGAATATCGTAGGCAATATTAAGATGTAAGTTAAAATGAGTTAAAGAAGCGTAAGCCGTAATAGACGAAGAAAAGTTTAAGACACGTAGGGGAAGACTTCAAACTGCAGACCGAGCGCGTCAAGTCGATGCTCGAACTCTTTCAACGCCGGTGCCATCACGACGTCTGCAGGCAATGTGTTCCAATAAGCTATAACCCTACGCGATAATCTAAAAGTTGCCAAAACCCGGTCAGACCGGGGGTTTGTGCAACTTTAATGGGTGGCCACGAAGGGTTGGTATTCGAGTTGGGCGAAACAGTCCAGTCAAATCAGGACCAAACTGACCCATCAATATACGATATGTAAGGACCAAGTCGCCCCGAAAGCCGTCTGTAATACATGGAAAACATATCCAGCTTACGTAGCCTCTCCGGGTACGTCAGCTTCTTTCGTCCCGGACCGCAGGACTCGTTCAACTGCCATCTTATCACGAACCAGGCATGGAGGACAAGCCTGGACGCAGTATTCCAAGTGCGGCCTTACAAAAGCCGAAAATAGTCTACCGAACATGTCGGTGACCATGATCCCGAATGACCTGCGGATCATCCACAACATGTTGAAGCCTTTACAAGCGGTTGTCTTCCAGTGTTCACTGGACTTGAAGTCAGATGACAGCAAAACACCGAGGTCAGCTTGGAGTTGAACTCGCGGTACCTCGTTGCCGCTAAGCAAATAACGCGTCGGCTCGTCATTCGGACCAACGCGTAGAACAGAACATTTCCCTAAATTAACTGGCAACTGCCACAAAATCGACCAGTCCCAAAGTCTATCCAGAGCCTCCTGTAGTGTCAGTGGACCAATCGGCTCGTCTATCGTGAACCAGAGTTTTAAGTCATCCGCAAACATTAGGGATGGCACACCTAATTCCTCAGGTAGGTCATTAACGTATAAAGTGAAGAGAAGGGGGCCAAGAACCGAACCTTGCGGCACGCCACTGAGAACACATTGGCGGAAGGACAAGCTTGAACCCACCCGCACCCACATTTCCCTTCCGATCAGGAAGGCTGTAATCCATCGTAAGACTGGCCCAGAAATACCAAAGGAATTCAGCTTGTACAAAAGGCGCGAATGTGGAATGGTGTCAAAAGCTTTGGAAAAGTCAATAAACAGCACGTCCACTGCCTTCCCGCAATCAACGGCTTCGGCCCAGTGTTCACGAGCCGTTAACAAGTTAGTAAGGAAAGAATAGCCCTTACGAAAACCGTGCTGAGAAGGATTAAGCAACTCAAACGCTTTCAAATGTCCTTCGAGTGCGTCCCTCGCGAGCTTTTCCAATAACTTGACCAGCACGCTCGTTAAACTGACCGGTCTATAGTTATCAGGGAGGTGCTTATCACCTTTCTTAAAAATGGGGCAAACAATAGCCTCCTTCCAGTCCTTGGGTAGAGAGCAGCCTCGTAGAGACTTCACAAAAAGATGCGTAATCGGAGAGCAAAATTCATCAGCCAACTCGTACAACAGTTTGGGATGAATAGCATCTCCACCAGCAGCTTTATTGGGATTTAATTGCCTCAAAAGCCGGAGCACTTGAGCCTCGGTTATAGAATCCTCCTCCAGGTGGGAGCCCTCAGGAACTTTTGCCTGGAGACTGATATGCGGCGGCTGTGACTCTCTAGCATAAACCCCTGCATACTTTTCTCCGAGCAAACAAGCTTTTGCATGATCCGTGACAACAGCAGTGCCATCCGGGCCAAACAACACTGGGATGCACGAATTCATGTTGCTTCGCCTTTTGACACAAGCGAAGAAGCGTTTCGGGTTTGATGAGGCTATACGAGCAAGCTCTGCTTCATGCTGTAGACGGGCACAACGCAGATACTGCCAGCAGGCATTTCGAACCTCACGATATCGCTTGAAGGTGCATAATGAAGGAGCAGATAAGTAAGTACGCCAACATCTGGCACGTCTGTTAAGTTGTTTGCGTACAGCAGAATCAAACCATGGTGGCGTTGCCCTAGTTTTATTCCTGCCAGATAGTGGTATATGGGGGAGAGAGAGCTCACTCAAGTATGATTTAAAGCTGTCCCAGGCCGTTTGAATGTCGTCATTTTCCAAAATGACACAAGGCGACTTCGCGGCTTTGGCTTTCATTGTCTGAAAGTCTGTGCGCCATATATTTGGTACTCGGTCGGGATGATCATTCGCCTGACGACGAATGGCGCACTTAAATGAGAGACAGGCGTGGTCGCTAGCACCAGAAGGTGAGTTGTATACAATATCGGTGATTTGTCAGTGGTTGTGTAGAGAAGAGTCGATATTGTTTTGACGCGCGTTCAAAGTTGTATCGTTGCTATAATGGCACTCTCCCGTTCGCCTTTCAGAGCGCCTTTCCTGCTCAATTACCGGAGGAGAACGAGAACACGACATTGGTTAACCGTAACTTCCTTTGTTCCAATTTACATCATGTTTATTACCTTTTGTAGAGGCTACGTGTTGTGTAATAGAACTTCGTTCTCAGCCCTTGGAGTTCTTCCGTGCTTGCGTGTTACAAAGTGGCGACCCTGCCAAGTCACAGGAATCAGGAATCTCTCATCACTAGTGTTGTGTCCCCAGGCGTTCGACTTCTTAGATTGCGCCCCACGAGTCAAAAGGACAACGCACCGGACAGCAGGTATATTTGCGGAACACTACACGGGCCGGCGTGGGTATGAAAACACTCTAAGTCCAGTTCCAATCACGGCTGAGGGCTAATTTGAATTTATCGATTTCAAAGAACCACGGGATATGTGGGGGGTATTTAACAAGGGGTATTAACAAATGTTCTGCAACATGGGAAAACCCTAGTCTGCTTGTAACTAAGACTGTTCTAATGCAAAGCACACGGTTCCTTGTAGGAAATCGCGCACTTGCCCTTCGAAACAAGTCAATTGCTTTCGTTTCTGTGCGCATTTAACTTTGGTCCGTTTGAAATTCTGTTTTTCCGGTCAAGTTACAATATTTAGCCTGAATCAGTGGAGGCAACTCGACTTGATTTTCAGACAGCGCGATTTTCCTTGGAGCAGGCCGTTCGAGACCTAACACCTCCCCCTTGTTGAAATAGTTGAGCCGGTATTGGTATATGTCTTCCTTCGGGGGTCTACTTGCATGGGCTGCACGCATCTTCTTCTCCGTGTTGACCTTAGTTGTATCCGTTTCAGCTCGTTCTATGGGTTGTGTATCCTGTCTAATCGAGGTGCTTGGCTGCGACTTGATTTTCAGACTTTGGTAAACGCATATATTCTAAACCACTGAAGTTCATCTAGCTTACGGTCTTTTGGGAGAACAGCAGATGACTCAGTGGCGTTTCTGAAAATAACACTGCAGTCGGTATACGAGTCTCCGCGTCGCGGAGTGTTTACCGAACGCTCCATGGACGTCGGTGCTTTCAGTTTAGCATCCGTTTTTCAAAACTCTAAAGTCGCAGTTGTTTCCAGCTGTAACGATTCCGGTAGTAGAACTGGGGGGGATAGGGCACCCGACGGACCTCTCATGTCTGCCTTGGGTTTTGCCGCTTTTTTAACTTTCTTTCGCTTTCTTTTGACAAGGGCAGAAGCCTGCTGCTCACCTTCGGTGGCATCAAGCTTACCGACCTGTTTGAGCCAGCTACATCAGATCACCGGAGAGGTCATCATCTTTTGCTGAAGCATCGGATGTCTCGACTAACTATCAAGGGGAAACACTTCGCGAACCACGTTGTCGACAGCTGGAACAAGCTTTCCCTTTCGTTGATGAACTGTACGACGATTGACGCCTTCAAGAGAGGTCTAGACAGATGTCGGTTAAAACTTTTCTACAACTATTGTAAACTTCTTGATGCTCGTTGCAGTAAACGCATAAAGGATGAAGTACAATGTTGTTTCTTTTTGCTTCGTTTTCCTTGCAGAAGCAAGAAATGCAATTTAAAATCGAAGTACCGGGGGCTTGTCCGGGAGAAAGTAAGAATTGTTTTGGAAATCCACTATTTTAGCGATTAATCGATTCTTAACGATTATCGCATCGATTTCGAACGTTCCGGAATGTTCTGCTTCTGCACGTGAGTAAAATCCACCTGACCCCTCGGCAAAAGATATGGGGAAAAATGAAAAAAAATGAAAATGTGTCAGCTTATACGCCGTAACGGCGCTTCGCTGCCGCGCGACCACCACCAGTCGCGCGCGGGCTGAGTACACCGCGAGGACGCCCACCCCTACGCGGATTCGAACCGGTGACCTTATGGTTGGAAAGCAAACGTGCCAACCACTCGGCCACCGGCCGAGATATGGGGAACCACTAACCTTGGTAGTTGACCTTCCAATTCTAGAAGTCGAAGGTCAGTAGAGACCTATAAATACAGCCAAGGTCCGCAGTCGTGTACAGTGTTCGTTGACAGTGATTAGTACGTTATTTTGGCAAGGTCATTGGCGTTTTGCTTTTTTCCTTCGGTTGGGCTAGAAGTTTTGTGGAGCAGCAAGTTGTTGTTTTTGGAGTTGCGTCTAGTGGGAAGATTATAATAAATGGCGACGGAGAAAATTGGAAATGTGATGAATTTTTCTGCTGAACAATTCCAAAAGCTGCTTTTTCAACAGCAAGCTCAAATGGAGGCACAAAGGAAAATGATTGAAAATCTTACACAATGTTTGAGTTTGCAGACAACAGGAGCAGCGGTGCGGGACATGCATGCGAGTTCTATTGATATTCTCACGAACGCCATTACTGAATTCCATTATGATGCGAATTCTG